GCTACAGTGTGTGTTCTAATATTTGGTCTTGATCTTTTTTTACCAAATTTTTTGCCGCAGTATCAATTTTTTTGCCGAATTTTTTGCCGCAATATCAATTTTTTTGCCGAATTTTTTGCCACAGTATCAATTTTTTTTTGCCGAATTTTTTGCTGCAATACTAATTTTTTTGTCGAATTTTTTGCCACAGTATCAATTTTTTTGCCGAATTTTTTACCGCAAAATTTTTTTTTGCCACAATATTGTCAGATTTTGTGCCGAATTTTTTTTCGCAAAATGCCGATATTTTTTTGCCGATTTTTTATCGATTTTTTTAATACCGAGTGGTAGCAATCGTAAATAATTCGTCAATATTTTTATTATTAAATTTTGCCAAATTCAGCAATAATTCGGCAGCTGAATGATATAATTTCGACTAGTATAAAATAGATAAAATTCTTCAAAAATTTTAAAAAATGATTAATTATAACAAGATAAAAATAATGGATAGAAAAGTTTTCAAGGTTTAAACTTTTGTTTATCCAATCTTTCACAATACAAAATTTTTATATACTTTTGTTTTAAAAAAAAAGGTTTTTAATATTACACTTAAAATCCTTATAATAGTTCAATGATATTATTTCAATAATTTTTAAATGAACAAGGATTAAAGAGGGATTATAATTATAAGGAAATGGAAAAAAAATTAGTCAAATTATAAGAACATTTTTGAAAAATATAAGACAGGAAAGAAAGATACAAAAACAAAAAAAAAATGGTGAGATATTTAAATCTTTAGAAATATTTACAAATAAGTGGATTTGTTTACTTCTTTATAAACAATACATACTGTATATAATATAAAAATTCTCTATAGTAGTAAAGAGATCATTTTTTCTTGATCTATATTATCTTTTTTGAATTTGAAAACTCATTAAGAAGAATAATACTACAACTTCTATCTTTGAAAAGATCTATTATAAGCTTTTTAATAATGGCAAAAATTCAAATCTGATTTATTTCTTTCTTAAAACAACTTGAGGAATAACATCAAAAATTATTTTATTTCCTTTTTTTTTGTTTATATTTATTTCTTTTTATACAAAAAATTGACTTCTAGTAATCAAACAAAAAACACCTTTTTTATCTATGACAAAAAAGTTCTAAAAGGAGTAAAAACCAATAATCATCTTGTAAAAATCCTATAACTAATCTTTTCTCAAAACCTTGATATAATTTTATTTGCAAATTATAAAATATTTCGTGAATTTTTCTTTATCACCATAATATCTTTTTATATATACTCTCAACTTGTCGCATTTTAAAATTTATTCGAAGTTTGAAAATTTTTCTTATTCAACATTTGTTTATGGTAGATTCATTCTTCTATTCATGATATGAAATTATTTTCTTGAGTTGTTCCTTATACTTAAGCTTCTCTTGCCTTGCAACTATCTTTTATTTTTTTTCAGTAAGAATGTCTTTTAATTTATTTTAATGACTTCTTCAACTCTCTCTTTACTTCTTTAAGATTTTTCTTTAATTATCATAAATTAATTAATTAAAATTTCAAACTTTAAAAAATTTTGACATCGCACCAAGCATAAGTTATTTTATATTATATATTTCAAAGAATGTTTTTAGAATATGCCGTATACACACATTTTTAGAAATGAATTTATCTGAAATATAATATCAGCTAATAATAATATTAATCTTTACGGAATAATTAATGCGCGAATATAAAAGGGTCTCGTTTCGAAGTACATTAGCAATCAATTGGAAGTTCAATTAAATTAAAATTTAAAATAATTCAAGATGAAACAAGCCATCGATGATTTTAAGAAGTTTCGCGGTTTTGATTAACTTGAACTGTCGATTATTCCGCCGTTCGAGATAGTATATGCTGAATTTTTTACGAAACTTAAGATTAGCTTTATTTCCTTACGGACACGAATATGATGAAAAATTTTACTTACGGGCTTCGGCCTCGGGCATGTCAGGCGAATCATAAACTTTGGCAACACGTTCGTCCCCACGTCCCTTTCTTAAGTACAGACGGACTGTCGAACTGTAATTTAGCAGATTACGTACTCTTTAGCTAAGTCAATATGAAAATTATAATATTGTCCGAGTAACTTACGCGTGAGCGAGGACGTGACCGCCAATTGGTTTACGAGGGTCACTTACAAACATCATATTACTTCCCGGATCTGCTTGAATCTTTGAAAAATACGATAATTGTTAAACCAAATCGATCGTGATATATAAGTACTCTGACCGCTAACCTGGTTTGTAATGTATATGGCAACGTTAAATTCTTCTGAAATCTTTGTTAGCCGACTAAGCATAATATTTAACTTCTGTTGTCTTTCGGCAAGTTCACCACGACCAGCATAGTCTGTTCTGAAAAGAGCAATAATTGAATCGATTACCTGTTAACGAGTGAATAAGTATTATTAAGGTTTGTTTCAAAAGTTAATGTCGTACACTTAAACAAGAAATCGGTGCGATCAATTTACCAATAATCGGTAGACACCTCTTTCTTCGGCGAATCTAGCAGCTAACTCAATAATCAATTCCATTTGATGTTCGGATGTGTAAGCACGGGCAAATATAATATTTTCGAGTGCTGCTTCATGGTCAATTCCGAATCGAGCTGCAATCGCTTTGATACGCTCTGGACGGAAAGTTCCTGGAATTCATAATAACCGATTAGCATTACCATCTGGTAAGCAGGACAAAAAAAATCTTACCTTCTGTATCAATAAATGCAGCCTAAAAAAAGATCAAGACCAAATATTAGAACACATACTGTAGCATTTAATATAGTTAAACAGGAAATACCTTTCCATTTGTTCCACCCATTGCAGGAGGAAGTTGCGCAACGACGCAAAGTGTGTGGGCAATTTGAGTTTTGCCCGTCCTAAATTCACCGAATGCTTCAGTTATGGACATGGTGGGAACTCCACCTTTGTGGTCGAGTGTGACTTCTTAGTAATGTTAACTTAAGAAATCTTGTTGTTTAAATAAATACAAGTAACATACCACCTAAAAGTGCATCCAATGCTTTGCTGCCTGTCGAGATGTACATCACCTTCGATCTTACTTGTGAAAATTCTGTGGCTGTTATGAAAGAAGCCGACTACAAGTCAAAAATAAATTAGTGCACCAACACGTGATCATGATACAGGTGAAAAGGGAGAAAATTATTGCCTGAAGTTTGGAAGCGGTTTCCTTAAGTTTGTCGACCTTTGCTTCAGAAAGGCCTTTGATTTTGCAGAGATTCTTGCGAGTTGTCATGTGAATTGCCTGGTTCGACACGATTATTATCATTGTGTGAACACTAGACTATGGTTATTGGAGAATTCGACTATTATTATTTTTTTTTTACCCGAACTGTACAGATGCCAGCACTTTTTAGTTTTGAAATATCAGCAGAACCAATCCCATGATTTTGAAGTTCGTCTATATCGGTGAAGAAAAGTTCCTGGATTATTTGATAATTGATGAATAAAAAATTTTAGTTTGCCAATATTTCAGGAGGGTTTTTTATTTCACTTATTACCGTTATCATCAAATGAAAAACGCGTTTTATTACATTTTAAACGCATAACTACCTCTTCTTCATCTGATTCCTGAATTTCGGCTTCTTGATCCGGTACCTGTTCTAGTTCGCTCATGTTTGTTCAATATGTGTACGGGTAGCAGATAAGGTGCGCGTAAAGAAAGAACAAAGGAAAAGAAAAAGAAAAGAGGGAATGGAAATTATAACTAAAATTTCGTGGGGTCAGGTGATTGCCGTATCTTCGCGTATCGTTAGTGAAAAGCTTATCGAAGTTTAATGGAATAAAGCAATCATTACATCTTTGATGTTGACTTGAAATTAACTAAATTAACTTTATATTGATTGAGCCTATTTGTAATGATAAAAAAACGGATCCGTACTGCACGTGGCAATAGCTAACTTCACAACGAATATTTGCTTCGATTTTTTTTTTTTATTATTATTAGGGTCTAGTGAAAATATTCAAATTTCTTTATGATGAAGTCTTGAAGGGTCACGTTCATGACATACCGCAGATCCGATTTTTTTTTTTTTTTAGAATTATCCCAATTTAAATGACGGATTATCTTTCATGTGGTACATTGGCAATAAAGTTTATTTATTATACCTAAAAGAGTTGTGTGCGACATATCAGCATCTCGTTATGAGAATTTTCCTTTTATGTACCCGATCTCATCCTTTGTAAGTGAGGAAATCGCATCCGCGGAGAACGATCGAATTCGTTGAATCTTGCTTACACCTATGACACTGAAAAGATCATATATCTTTCGGGCCTTTTCCATTTTCCTCTTTGCAAAATTGAGAGAAGTGCCGGCGGGAAAATTACGAAGAACTTCTTTGTTTAGTGTTTCTCGAGCATTTACAAACCTTTTCTCTATGAGACCGTCAAGCCGATCCTTGAGTGCTTTGCCAAACTCGAAATAGCAAGAGATGGATTGAGTTTCCGGTCTGCAAATTTTCCGGCAAAGGTGGTGAAGGGATTCTGAAGGAATCAGACTACTGGCAGGCGCACCGTCGTTCACTACGATATCCTCCATCACGTCAACCGATAGCTCGTTCAAAATACCTTCCAGCCTCGATTCCTTTCGTGCACGAGTTTGTCGTAACAACTTTACCGGTGTCTCTTGCAACGTACCTCCTGGGCTAGAACGTGTCCATTTCCCAGTAGACACGGCTATTAATGGTAAAACTGCGCCCTTTGAGCTAGAACGTGTCCTGTCTACCATCACCTCCCGTTTCTTAGTAGATAAAGTTGCCGGTGGTACAATTATTACGTGGATGTGCCTTTTGGGTGGATTTTCCTTCCAGTAGTCCCCAATATCACGGGTCGCAAGGAGTTCGTCATGGTCATGGAGCGAGAGTTTGGCTAACCTATCGTCGTAGTGGTCACGGATTTCAACCTTCCATAATTTGAGTTTGTCCGAAGCAAAATGAGAGAACTCGGGTGCCTTCTTCACTTTGATAGCCCTCTTAAGGTGGCTTATCAACTTGCCACTGTCAATGTCAACAGCGAAGGCGTTCGCGGACGCAGGAGTGTTCCCTTTGACCAAGCAGATAAGAGTTATAGGGGCCATTGCGATTTGCTTTATCGGTTAAATCGTTCTACAGTATGGAAACTCGAGAATTGAGGGTATATGAATCTGCATTGCGAGTTACACCATTAATCTGATGAATTAACTTCAAAAACCTGTTTACATTGTGAACCAAAAGAAGAACAAATCTAACCAAATATAAATGTTTACCAACAAGATTTTGCTTAGCCCATTCTATACATTGGTGACATAATTGTTATATTTGTTATAATTTCTAAACAATGTGTAAAAGAGGTTTTTGTTTTTGTTTTTTCTTTGATTTAAAAAGATTGCGCCGACATAAAGCAATAGTTAACATTATATTGAAGGTTGAGTGTTCGATTGCAATTGTTTTATAGTGCGAAGGCGAAGGAAACTTTCAAATTAAAATAGTGCCCTTTCAAAGAAAACATTGTATACTGTATAAGTGGCGAATTAAATGTAAGAATTCAATAGTAGGTACAGTATATCCTTCATATGTGCAAAAAACATTTTATAATTTCTTTTATTTCTTTTTTAATTATCAGTCTAGGAATCATCATTTAACGCAATAGTCCTAAGCCATATAATATCACCCCAAGAAACAGAATCAATGCAAAAATTGAACCATTTTTAATCATTCTAGTAAGCAAGGGAAATCTAGATGCGAAGAAGAGGAAATGATATGCCGTTTTATTTATCGATCCATATTTTGACGGTTTTATCGTTCCCAATCGCGCCGGACGCGATTATATCTTTTGTTGGATGGCATGCGATAGTCAAGACGACATCTAAACGGAAAGAACGCGAACGAGACTGAATATTGAATATATCTTAGATCACCATCATCATATTTCGACATTACCGGTATGACCTTCCAATTTTTGAACAATCTCTTTGCTTTGCAGGTTCCATATGTAGATACAATGATCTTCACTACCACTTACGATCCACTTTCCGCCAGTAATAGAGAAGCTCGAGAACACGCAGTACTTGTTGTTCAAGTGACCGTTATAGGTTTTCAAACATTTCGAAGAATGAAAATTCCAAAGGCGCAATGTGTTGTCAAGAGTTGATGCAAGTATATACTTTCCGTTAGGCGAAAATTTCACAAAAGAACTAAAAGAAGATGTAATTAGAGCAAGATACATTAATTCCAAATTAACGACCTCTTAAATTATCGATAATATTGATTCGCACTTACACCGGTGGATTGTCGTCGTCCACTATCGTTTTTAAGCATTGACCGGATGCAGTATCCCAGATTCGACTGTAACCAAAATGATTGATTAGTAAGCAAACCAACTATGCATATGTTTTCGCATGAATCCACCATTAATTGTCTTACATCAAGCCATCGTAACTGCCAGAAACAATCATCGTTCCATCTCGGTTAAAATGTACTGCCGAAACCGGATCCGAGTGAGCAGGCAGGATCTTCAAACATTTGCCTAATGACGCGTGTCTCGTTATTTCTCGTAACGCGAATCAGAATGGTATAGAGGTTTAAATAGCTAATAATACCATTTTTAACATCCCAAATCCTTACGCTTTCGTCGAATGACCCGGACACGATTAAACTCGACTGTGGATTATAATTCACACAGAACACGTAGTTTGTATGACCCCTGAGCTCTTTAACGGCGGAGTCCTGATACAATTAATGAAGCGATTATTAATTGCCAACGATCATTCCATTTGATCTTTGCATGACCAAACATTTCAAAACTACCTTATTCATGTGCCAAATCCGTATCGTTGTGTCGTCTGAACCAGAGCACAGTGACATGGAGTCAATAGCCCACGCGACATCTGATATACCTTGAGTGTGTCCCTCAAAAGTTTTTTCGTGTTGACCGGTGTAAGCATTCCAGATTTTTATTGTCTTATCAGCAGCTTTAATTGAGTAAATAAGGTCATTAGTGCCATTTTTTCGAAACCCAAGCTCTGTCAAAGACATGCGTTTCATGTTGCCAAACGATCACTAACAGGCACTAGCGAGCCATTTTCCATCTGGAGAAAATTTGACGCTCGAAATAGGCTTTTTGTGCCCGACCAAGCTGTATTTCAGTTGATAAGAAGGTTTTTCTTGATTCGAAGAGTCATTCTGTACTGAAGGCAAATCGCCACCACTATTTCCATTGACAGCAACGGTACTACAATCCTGAGTGCCAGAAACCTGTTGGTGAGAATTTGCATCGGTCATTGCTATTATCATTGCGTAGAGATTTTTTTTTTTTTTTTAGTTATGCTGGTTGGGTGTTAGTTTTTGTGTTTAAAAAAAAAATTTTTTTTATTCACGTGTTCATCATTTTTTTGATGATGTACAGTACTACTACTTATCGATGTTATTATATGCAATGACATCGATGCAGAGGTTTTTGTATTCATCTTTTTTTTTTAATTTTTACTATTTTTGTAGCCTACACAAAAATATATTTATTATATTGCTTGGAAATATATTAAAGCCTTATATTAAAGGCCGAATTGGACCTTATTCGTGACGAAATTTGAAATGGCGCCTCTGAATGCGTGACAGTTCGGACGGATAGACCTTCGAAATGTGTTGGCCAATAAGAGTAGACTAAAAAAAAAAAAAAAAAAAAAAAAAAAAAAGGTATAAAAGCACCTGTGATCCATATTTTTTATGATGCAGTAAAAATGAGGTTAAGGGTTCGGGAGCACGATAAAGTTCACGTTATCACTGATTTAACCGAAACCTCAACATTCCTCGAGTTGAAACGGTCAATCCAAGCTCTTACTGGGATACCGCCCTTGAATCAAGAAAGTGTGTTTCTTTTTCGCAATTTTGATATTCAATGCCAATTCAACAACTTTTTTTTATTCAACAGTCAAGACGGGATATCCACCCCGTGTTTGTGAAGCAAATGACCATGACACTTTAGTTTCACTTGGCCTACGAGATGGTGAAGTTATTATTCTCTGCGAGATATCTCCGTCGGGTTCGTCCAACCAACCCGTTGGTCAACTCATATTGAATTCTTCCTCCAAAGAGTCGAGCATTACCACACCCGTTAGTCAACCCAAAGAGTCGATCATAGCTACACCCGTGGAAAATGGATTTGTTGTATTAAGAGTATGTCCTTTTATACTATTAACTTACACCCATCTTATTAATCGAGTTTAATAGAATACAATTGTTAGGAAATGGAAGATGACAATTCTTGCCTGTTTCGCGCAATTGGTGAGCGGATTGCGTGGTTAACTTGCGATATACGGTTAAATTCGTCTAAATTAATTTAGTATGCGTACTCAACGTGAATTTTAGGGTATATTTCGTTCCGTTCGTTCATTATATTTGTTACATCAAGACTTGACTCACGTGTTTTCAAATGATCTCAAGTTACGCATTAGAAAGATCGGAAGACGTTCAGCACCTTAGGCAAAGTAGGATCCATCTTGTTCGTCACCATGAATACTTTTTGATTAAGAAATACCCGAACTTATCATGGAACAGAAGCTGATACAATAAAATTTTATTCAATAATTTTAGTCGTTATCGAATCTATCATGAAAGATCCAGAAAATTATTCCGACGTGATCTTGGGCAAATCCCGTGAAGAATACTGTTTTTGGATCAGACAAAATAATAGCTGGGGCGGAGCTATCGGTAAAGTCAACACGGAATTATATATACATATACTGTATATACTGTATGTATAATGAGATGACAACTTTTTTTTTTTTAGAACTTACTATCTTTGCCGCTCATTACAAAGTTGGTAAAGTTGCCTGATTACCGGTCAATACATAATTGTCGAAAATAATTTTATAATCGCCTGTACTTACCGGTACCTATATTCCAGAAATCCGAAGTATAGATGTTAAAACTGGAAGAATTGATCGATATGGTATTTATGCATTACTGTTGATATTATTTACTAGTATAATTATAGTTAATTTTAATAATCTGTTTAGGTCAAGGAAACTACGATCAATGTATATATATAATATATAGGTCTGAATAGAATGCACTGTTTTCTTCAATGACTCAGTGATCAAATGTTGTTCCCACTATGTATTAATTAACTAATTTATTTATTTACTGTATATTACTTTAGTGGAATACGTCAGTATTTTTTTTTTTAATATCTTTCAAGTATTCTATCGACTGACCTTTATTTCAAAATAATTTTAGATTATGATTCCGTTGCTTCTACTCCAATCCTTGAGGCCAGCCCGGAATTCGATCAGACAATCTTTGATGTATCAGACGATGCTATATTGATGGCTGCTACCGAAATTGCAAATAAAATGAAACAAGTAATCTCCCTATAGATTATTAAATCTTGATTACTATTAATGAATCATTTTGCAATCAACGATTACTTATCTCCAACGATACAATCACACTCACAGATGCATAAATACACATACACGGCTGACTTCACTCTACGATGTGATCAATGTAAAAAAGGGTTAAAAGGAGATAAGGAGGCGATACAACATGCTCAGGAAACAGGTAGATATTCTCATCTTTTGTTAAATCGGTCAGTGTTGGTAAAGTTAATTTTATAAATTTGATGAATCAACCGGGAAAATTAGGTCACGCGAATTTCGTTGAATATGTGTAATGAAAAAGAATGTCTAAAAAAATTATATTATACTAGCTTGACTCAAATAACAAAATGTATAAAATTCATGATTACAAGTAGTTGAGAAATTTTACACCTTTCTAAAAGTACAACTATATTGTCACGGGAATAAGAATAAATAAATTTTTTGGTTCCTTAATCAAATTCATTTAATATCATCGGGCACTTCTAAAACATACTGTGCCTCGACAAGTCTTCTGGCATCCTCATCATCGTCAAAAGCAAGCAGATAACGCCGAGGATTTGATTTTTCAGGAGGTTTAACGACCACCGCCTTGTAAAAACATGTCGTACCAGGATATAAGGCAATAACTGTATGCGATTGCGGGAATTCGGGCGTTCGCATGTCTCCCTGATTAGGGATTTCAATTACATTCTTGGCGGGCACCAAGAAGTACCTACGACAATTTTTTTTCGGTTAACCGTAAATTTACTCATTGAAGTGGAATGCACTTTTAGTCAACGTTAACCTACCTGTTTGACGCTTCGTCTTTATCTATATCCTCAATTTCGTAGCTACCCGTTGAAAGCGAGGATAAGTACATAACGTTGCGATTATAAAGGAATTTGAAAATCAATTTGAAAACGATATTACTGTTTAGTATCGACTCGGTAATCAACGACCGTTGCCAGGATCCAATTTTCCTCGGGATCCTTTGATTTTGGTTGTTTTGCAGCTACCTAGACGTAGGAAATCGTTATAAACAATTTACCCCAAAAGTTATCGACGACGAGTTTAAAATGCATACGTTTGTTCCATTCTTGATGATGTTTCCACTGCTCTTCGGCACACTGCGGATGTATATATTGCACACATTGTTAATGTAATGCACGGTCTTTTTTTCGTATTTACCAATATTACATACGCTTTGGATTTTTTCATTTGTTTGTTCACCCCGCCGCTTAAGCTGGCCGATTCGTGATCTCGTTTTTTTGATTTTTTATAAGTACTATCATCACTTATCGACGAGGCAACTGAAGGGAGAATTAATATTAACTCCTATTTTCCTTTTAATCAGCAGCTTTGGGGATACATAATAAGAACATACATTTACCTTTTAAAGACTGTTTACCAACCTGTGATTGCGATGCAAGGAATTTATCAATATCTTTACTTATTGTATTAGCCATTCTTGAATAATACGATTTTAGATAAATTATTGCCATTCATCGATACTTTGCTTACACAAGCCAAAAAATTCTTACTCTTCTTCACGAGAAGTCTGATCCAAGGCCTTTTTGTACAAGTTTTTTAGTTTATCCCTAATTTCGGGAGTTACCAGATTGGCTGTTCAGATAATTCAATCGATTAGTGAGAGGCAATATTCTATGCGCATGAAATATATGACGTGAATACCTTACTTTGGTGAATTAACTCGTGTTGTTGGTTGATTTGTCTGGACAGGTCGGCTACCTCATCTTCGATTTTTTCCAGTTTGGTTAGATTATTACTTATGTTGGCCCATAATGAGTCCTCATCGTCGGAGACACGTAAAGAATCTCTACGATAATCCATTTTCGTTTGTTGTGTACCGATACAATTAAGAAATTTTATTCCGGATCACATGCCCAGTAAATTAAATTCCATAATCTGTTGACGTATCAATCATCGTAGATCACGTGGCAATCGATTTTCCCACCATTGTTGTTTAACATGTGATAAATAATTAAATTCTCACTATAATATTAATTATTTTTTTTTAATACTTTTTTTTTTTTTTTTTTCGGGTGAAAGGTGCTAATAGCACATGTTTATTAAGTAATTAAACCCATTACATGATTAT